CCAATTTTAGTGACGTATTTATGCAAGATAGCTTGCCCACGTCACCAAGGAAAGCCGAATGTGGCGTCGTCAATTTAGATACGAATGCGGGTTCGGGAACACATTGGGTAGCCTATAAGAAGGATGGTGATGCGGTGGTTTACTTTGACAGCTCTGGGAACCTTAATCCACCGGAAGAACTGATTCGCTACTTTAAAAATTGTAAGATACTTTTCAACTATGACCAGAATCAGTCATATAGCTCGTTCAATTGTTGGCATCTTGTACTTGGATTTTCGTATAATAAATCCATATAAATAAGTTGCTCCGCCTAATTTGACACTAGTCATGTCGTAGACATTGATGTTAAAAGGTCGAACCAATTGCTTGAGCGTTGACTTTACTCCACCCATCGAACTCGATCCTAATTATAGCTACTCATTGGCTCTCATTTCTCTCACTACGTGGAATTTCATTCCTAACATCGAGACCGAAACATGTTCTACTATAGCGTTAAAGGTGTAGAAAATGTTCTGAAAATTCCAACGGGTTCCTATGAGGTTACCGATATTGAAACTCTCTTAAACCGAACAATAATACGTTAAAGTGTATGATAAAGTGCATCTACGATAAAAATTTCAAGCCCATGGATAGTATTGGTAAACTTTTGGGATTCTCAAGAAAGTCACTGAAAGCTAATTCTCTACACGAATCCGATCTCCCAGTAGAGATTATATCAATGACGACTATAAGGATAGAGTGCCACATCGTCTCAGGTTCTTACTACACTAGTAATTCCTCCTACACGATTTACGAGTTTGCACCACCTGTGGATCCTGGATATAGAATTAGGCAATCGCAATCACGTGATTTTATAATGGCCGTTCGGGTCAAATATTGCGGTGACAAGCCGGTGACGTTTTGAAGTTCATAAGGCGAGTATTTGTGTTCTGGCCCTTGCTGCTTTCGAAGTGAATTTTATGTGTTTCTACGTATTTTTCATTGGTTTTGGTCATTGTTGTTTTCATAGTGAATTTTATAGTCTTTAGTATTTCTACATATTTTTTAGTGTTCTGGCCTTTGTTGTTTTTAAAGTGAATTTTATAGTGTTTATAGTGTTTCTATGTATTTTTTAATTTATTAATAAATTCTGAGATGGAGAGTAAATATCCTAAGGTATTATTATTAAGGAAAAAACGAGCTTTTAGTTGCAGCAATCCATAAAGCCCTGCGTTGTTTTGATAATTCATATTTGTAGATCAAAAGCCAATGATTTAAAATAGCAGGAACTAAATAAAATTTTACATTATCCCTGTTACCTCGACTTCCACACCCAATTACGATGCAAATCGCTGGCATTAATAATCAACACAATACCTAAAGACACAAAAAACACAAAATCCGATAATTCAAATCTGGACGTTTGTCCAGAATATGACAGAATCAATGACATACGAATAAACAACACAGTGCTTGACCCAATGCTTGACCCGAACTTCCATATTGAATTTCGTTTTTGCCAGGTCAGTAGATTGCCTAATTATAATAGATCCTCGGAACTTGATCTATCTCCCTGTCAATAGAAACAGCATCGATAATATAACAATCAATACACTTGACCAAAAAGCAAGACCAGTTACCTACCATCCTTTCACCAAATCTTTCAACTATACGTTTACGGTTTGAAAATGACACCATGAGATGAGGAGCTGCCGTCAAATTCCGGAAAAAACCGCCAAACACTTGGGGTTGACCCGGGTCAAGTCCCCGAAATTTCAGATCAAAGGCGCCGCCGATCTAGAGATTGTCCCACGGTATCGAAAAATTTCCCAGGCTCAGGTGCCCCCGCTAGGTTGACAGATAACGTCACTTGGGTCTGTAGTTGCACCGGTGAGCGGTGTGATGGTGAATAACCTTACTATCTCTACTGTAGTTTAGTCTCTGAATATGGACAGTCATGAATTGACCATCTACCATGTAATTACTTACAGTAAGTTTGAACCTCTGTACAACTCGAATAGGGTCGTTACCTCCTGTTATTAAAATTATACTGACCATTATTTTTCGATATAGTGAGGCCTAAAACTTGGCCATGTCATATTGGTTTTATTGAAAATTGTTTCCTGGATTATTTAAATTAATTTTAAATTTAAACATTTTTTGTCCTTGTCGAATTGTTGGTCTCTTTCTCCCATGACGTCACTAGGCGGGCATGCGCAAAGCAGTTGTAAACAAATCCATCAACATATGCAATTTTGTGAGGTTATGTTGTTTTGTTATTATTTTGGAATGTCGTTGATCGTTGTTATATTTTCATTATTTTTTGAGTTTTTCAACGGTTTTTCCGAGGTTTCAAGAAAAATATTTAAAAGAAACGTGTAATAATTTCAAGGTAAGTGATTGTTTCTCATTATTTGATGTTATTAAGGTCTCAAATAGAGCATGCATTTCAGTTTCAGTGTACCCACCTAAGTCCTACCTACTGTTCACTATTTGACTATGGATTTTCGTAAATGTTTTGTTCCTTCTTGTAAAAACAGTAATCTAAATTCGAAGAAAATCTTTATAGCTGTCTCCAAAAATGAACAAAAAGAAGAAGTTGGTGTTTAGCTGTGGAAAGAGTTAATGTATTGTCTAGTATTTCTGGTGGAATTTATTGCTGCGAAGATCATTTCAATGTAAGTAAACTTGGTTGCCAAATTTCATTTTATAAACACCTATTTTCTGTTTTACATTATTTCAAAAATATGAACATTATATTATGTTTATAGATGGAACAAGATTGTGATAACTAGATGCAGTTTAGGATGACAAACTGCAAATTACTTATGAAGAAAAAAGTGGTTCCACATATTACCTAATTTAGGCAGAATCCGAGTTTGTGAAGAAGCTGAATAAAAGAATTGCCAGCTTACGAATCCATATTGAAAGAGTGATACAAAGATTGTGAGAATTAACAATACTCGAACGACATTCCTGCATTGACCATCAGCTTGTGGCAAAAACTGATTATTTAATAATTATTGCTTGTGGAATAGTGAATTTGCCATTAATCAAATAAATTTTATGTCGAAGCTAGAAAAAAATGCTTTTTTGAATATATTATATAAAAAAAATACCTATTACTTTTTTTTACTGCCAAAATAGTACATTATACACCTAGAGAATAAAGTGGTACTTTTAATCCCGAAGTGAGGGCTATAATTTGTTGAGGGATTAAAAAACACTTTAGTCCTGAAGTGTTATACACTATCATATGCACTTTAGGGATTAAAAATTAAAAGGGTACTTTTGATCCCTCTAAAGTACATAAAATAGTGTATACATCTCAGGACTAAAGTGTTTTTTATTCCCTCAACTTTGGAGTACCCTTTTATTCCCCGTTCCATTTACTCCACGGGAAATGAAGTAAAAAGTTAATCCCTTGGGAAATAAAGTGAAATTTAATCCTGGGGATTAAAAGGGTACTTTTAATGCATAAATAATGTAAAGAAGAAAACTACCAGACTCCCAATTCAATCATATATTTTTATTCAAAATGACTGAAAATACATTTTTCTTCCAAAATTCTTCAGCTGATTTAATAATTACTTTAATAAACCTAATGTTTAAGTCTAATTCAAAAATTGTCACTTCATTATCCTCTCCAAATTTGGGACTTGCCACACAAAACAGTCCTTTTTGTCTGTTACACAATAACATTTGTAACTGAAGACTGAAGTTGGCACATGTATTTCGTCATTATATTTCCATTTTCCTTAATGTAGTTTTTCACAGTCTCCTTCTTGCTAGGACATTAAACTTCAATCAAAAATTCTTTGCTTATTCCATCTGGCGATGCTCCTAACAGAGGATATTCTGCTGTCTCTTTTCAACTGCACATTAATTCACATAGCCAATAGCATTGTCACCATAACTGGCTCTCGCTGACCTAAAAATATATGAAACTACATATAAAACTGTTACCCTGCTACTAAAAATGTAATATAATAATGGGCTAAAGCTAAACCAATACAATAATTATGCTAATATTTCACTACCCACCGTTAGGTTTTGACGTCGGTTTTGACTCCTCTTATTTCTGCACTTAAATAATCCGTATTTTTGGCAAAAAACTCTTGCATCATCACATAATTTAGTTCAGGTAAATTTTTGCTGGAGGCTTTAATTAATCCACTATCCATCTTCTCACATAAACCGACCAAATAAACGGGTGAAATAAGTATTTATTTTTTATTTTATAAATCAACCAGACTAGACAGGCGAATCAAAATAAACAAAATAACTGACATAACCTCTAAAAGAAGACAGGAGATGGGCCAGTGGCATTGCAGCCAACTAGAAAACTAGGAAATTTTCTCAGTGATGCAAACTTAAATTTAGAAATACAGTGCGCAAGCGCGCCTTGTGACGTCATTACAATTTAAAAAATAACGAATAATAGTAAAATTTCAAATCGAAATATCTCCTTTAATATTATTCTAAAAATGCGGGAAAAAAACCAAGAATAGATTTTGATGTGCCTAATTCAATGAAAAAATTTAAAAAAATCATGAAACGACCCTATTTTGCTCTTGAGGTCCTTAGATCAGCAGGATCACAAATTGATCCTCTAAAATGTAGTTGAAGGATAGGTCAGTACTAAAATTAATGAACTATCAAAAGGACAGATTAATTTAGCAAATACTTGATGGATTTTACTACATTACAAATTTTGAAAAAAAACAGGAACGTTTCTTGATTTCCACATTTCTATTTAACATGTTTCATCACACGGTGCCTTCTTGAGACAGAATAGGTAACTTAACTAATTCGCGCTAAAATTTAAACCATCAAAGTGGAATTGGAAACTTCAATGGTTTATTCCAGAAAAAGATTAACATAATTTTTTTACCTTTTGATGTGCAAACAACTGATACACCAGTTACCTTTGCCTATGCACATTAACAACTTCTAAAGTGACAACAAACGTCACCAAACTTACTACTTTTTTGTTATATTTTTTTTTTAAATGGCAACATTTTTGAAGAAAGCCTTCGTGAGTTTCCCCCATTCATCTCTACGAAACGATTGCGGCAGAGTAAAGTATTCAATATGTTTCAGGCCAAAGATGCATACAGCGCAGAACAAAGAAAAATCGCCAAGGCTGCTTTGGAACAATTAGAAAACATCAAAAGGGTCGCAGAAGACAGGGACAATCTACGGAAAAAATTGGAAACTACTCAGTATGAATTGGAAGAGCTCAGGGTACCCTTTAAGCACAATAATTTGGTTAATTAATTACGTTTGAATAATTGTAGCAAAACGTCAATTCTGGCTTCGGGGACTCAGAAATCACCGAAACCTCAAGGGCTCCAACGTGCGTACCGATCCAAGAGAGCAAAAAATCATCTCGCCCTCAAGGACCTAGAGGCTCTGGAAAAGAAATAGAAGTGCTTGAAAAATATTGCTCTACGTTACAGAAAGAAAATACCAGATTAAAGGAACATAATGCGGAGCTTCAACTGAAATGTAATAAGTCTGATGAGAAATTGGAATTGCTTGGTAAGGGCTTATTTGTGAAGGTAGTTTCTATACCATTCTGTATTCCAGGTTGTGTTGGCGATCAAGCCTTTATCGACATCAAAAACAAACTGCAAACCCTTGACGAATCAGTTGCAGAACGAAATGCCCTACAGTCCAGAGTAAGAGTTTTGGAACGAGAGCTGAATGCTTACCAAGATCTACCGGAACATGTAGAAGTATTTAAAAGAAGATCAGTTTTACTGGATGATGTTGTGAAGGATCGCGATCGTTTATCGAAGCGAGTAGAACAAATGAAAATTTCAGATGAAGAGTTGAGCGTGCTAAAGCAGAAATCAGACAGAGTGAGTAATCTTTTATCTTACATAAGTTTCAGATGTTTTAATACTTGTGATTAGATTGACGATTTAGAAAGAAAATTGAGAATTGCTCAAGAAGACGTCAAAACAGCCGAAGAAGAGGTCGATTCGATGAGAAACAAATGCGCAACTGCCGAAATCGAGATGCTGAATCAGAAAACTGAAGCGGATACGTTGAGGTCCAGGATTGTTTGTATGCATCACGAGGCGGAGAGTTTGAAGTCTATTTGTAATGAACGGGAAATGTTGAAACTTGAAAAAAGGAGGTATGATCTGCGCCTATAAAAATTTAGCGATATAAATTGCTCTCTATATAACTAACCTTGCTTGGAGAAGTACAATTTGATCTTCCTCAATTTCAGCAAGTAGAGTTTCTGTTTAGATCACAAATCGGTACACAAGATACTCTACTGTGGTATTTTTTGCTTCTTTTCCAATTTAGTAATCCAAGTTACTGTATAACATATACTGCGATTTTAGTGACGTTGTGTATTTCCTATGGTAGCCTACTATATACTCTCGCTCAAAGTCAATTAAATTGCAATAATGTTTCATAGTCATTTCCCTTTGCATCATAGTCATTGCAATTTATGACCAATCAACCAGAATTACGCTATAATTCCATATTTTGTTTCATTTTTTTGAGGAATTTCAAAACGAGACGACTAGTTTTTCTACTAGAAGCGAGAAAATTGTGAAATGGTTCAACCTGCCGCAATAGAATAACAAAATAAATACATACATACTTTATTCCAACTCGATTTGTTGGAAACTTTCTTCTGATTCTTCAGCTTACTTTTACGTTATAAGATTTGATTTTATCCAAGGATACGACGCCTTTATATTTCTTCTGTGATCGGACAGATCTTGTTAGATCCTCTATCACAAATCTGTCTCTATCCAAGTCTTCCGTAATTTCGTAAGGGCTACTGTATTTTGTCAGGAGTTTTTTACTTTAGCTCTGATTACTCGAATGGATATTTCTCACTAAACAAAACTTCCTTTAGCAAATTTACTGCCTTTCCAACGTCTCATATCATAGCGAGCCTTAGTTTTGCTTTGCTGGTCACTTGGTCAGCGATTCTTTGGCTGACTTCCTGTCTGGTTTTTCGTAAGTCTTCATCATAACTTGGTTCAACTACTTCGTTAGCCAGTGAAGCATTGGCAACACCCCTTGATAACAAATAAAAGTTCGTAGGGCGACCTTTTTGTAGTTGAATTCATACGAGTATTCAAGCCCCATTCCACTTTTTGGACTTTTTCATCCCATCTATTTTCTTCATTTATACTTGCTGACAAACATGCTAAAATTGTTCGATTATATCTTTCGACCTGTCCGGTTGCCCTTGGCGTCGCTGTTGCAATGAAGACATGTTTGATATTTAATTTCTTACAATATTCTTTGAATTTCCTCGCCGTATAGCATGAACTACGATCAACCTTCTTGGTACTCCAAAATTTGCTATTACCTCATCCACCTTTCATAAAAATAAACTTCATTAATGCTTCAACAATAACAATGAGGTAGTTATTTTTGCGTTTGGATTTTACGGAGAGTCCTAAGTGATCGATATGTAGCGTATCGAAGGATTCTGGAATTTTCTCAATGGGATTTAAGTACCTGCTTGCTTTCTGGTTGTACAGACATTCTAGGCAGCTAAATATGTACCATCGTCACCAAAAGTAGCTGGGACAGCATCATATTAGTTCCTGTACTATTATATGAATTTTATTGTCAAATATTTGTCAAACTATGAATCAAATGCATTGAAATGAATGACAGTAGAATTAGTCCAGGAGATTATTATGCATTATTTTTGTCCCAGATACTTTTGGTGACGATGGTACGTTTTTGTGTACCGGCGCATACCTGGAAACCAATAGTTTTTGTAAATGGCTACCAACGTTTTGTATAACGCCAAATAACTACTACCATGGTTAAAATGCATAAATATCTGCCTTCGAACTTCGAACAGCTTTTGGTACGACCAATTTTTTTCCTTCTTCAGACTTTCGGTACAATCGGTTGTTTATTTGACAGTACTCTTCGTGCACTTCTTTATCTTCGATGTCTTGAGGTGGCTTTTTAAGTGTATCTAACAGAAAAACGCATCTGGGTCCTTATTCTTGAAACAAGGGAGCTGCGTTCCCAGGAGAACGAGTGTTCCGTCTTTCTCAATGATATGCAACTGATAATATAAGTAATAAAGACGGAATACTCGTTCTCCTGGAAACGCTGCTCCCCAGTTTCGAGAATAAGGACCCTGTTATCTTGTAGTTGCGCAGTCAAAACCCAATCATCATGTTCAATGTTTACTCCGTACACAGGTATGGCAAGCTTTCCATCTTTTGTCTCTGGGCCAAAAACTGGGCTTCGACTTAATGCGTCAACGTGCGCCATTTTGATGCCTGGACGGTATTCAACATCAAAATTCTTGGATTGACAGCCACCAACGTCCTATTCTTGATATAAGATCTTTTTTGTTTATTGTTGTTCTAATCGGTTATTACTTTGAAACTTATTCCAATCAGATAAACTCTGAAGTGTTTCAAACTTTCCACAACAGCGAGAGTCTCCAATTCGTAGGAATGGTATTGCTGTACATCTTTCGTTGTTTGTCTGGAAAAATACATGCAAGGCAACATGGTACCATTTTGCTGCCTTTGGAGAAGAATACTTCCGATACCCCACTTCGAAGCATCGCAATGGACTTCCGTTAGCCATTCTGGATTATATATTGATAATATTGGTCTAACCACAAGCTTCTCTTTAAGCAAGTCAAAAGCACGTTGCTGCTTGTCGGACCAATTAAATTATGTGTGTGTTAAGGATATGAGAGGTCTAGCAATTATATCAAAATCCTTTATAAATTTTCCAAAGTAACACTAGTCAATCCCAAGAACTGTCTTACTGTGTGCATGTCGTGGACACCGGAAATTTTGAAACAACTTCTGTTTTCCTTTTTCCAGGTTGCACGCCATTTTTAATAATTTCATTTGCAAGAAATTCAACTTTTGAAAAGAAAAAGTTACATTTTCATAGCCTCAAGGTTAAACCGGCGTTCTTCAACGCCTTCAGCACATCTTCAAGATTTTGTATACCTTCCTGGAAGCTTTTACTAGGCAGAAAAGCATCATCCATATTTGCCAACACTTTTCCATACCTCGTGTTGTTACCCAGCACCTTGTTGATCGTTCTTTGGAATACTGCTGGTCCATTAGCTGCACCAAATGGCATCCGAACGTATTCGAATTGTCCATCCGGAGGCATAAATGCTGAAATCAAGTCTGGATCTATCTCGAATTGGTGGTAACCACTTGCTAAATCGAGGTCAGTAAAGTAACAGCAGTCCCTGATCTTTCCAAAAAAGTCATCAACACGGAGCAGAGGAAATTTATCTTTGACAGTCTTTGAGTTTAAAGCCCGATAGTCTGCTACCATCCTATGTTCTCCATTTTTTTTTTTACCAAAAGAATCTGACTCTTGGATAATGTGATTTTCCATGAGATTGGTTACTATGTCCCTCACAACTTTTCTTTCGCTCTGAGAAAGTCTGTAAGGTCTGTATATAACTGGTTTGTTGTCCGACAAGTTTATTTTCATTTTTAACACATCAGTCTTGTCAAGGCCCTTAGTGCATTGTGCAAAACAGCGTTGAAACTTGTTTAACAAATTAATAAGGTCAGTTACCTGTTCTGAAGTTAATTTCTCATCGTAGAAAATATTGCTTGCATTAAAAAGTGAACGAATTTCGACAACTTCGCTCAGGATAACGTTTATGCTGGGAAAGTTTACTTTTTCAAAACAGTTAACTGATCTTGCAAAAACTTGATCTTTATTTACCTTAAGTTCTTGATATAACAAATTCGTGACTGAAAGACATCCGGTTCTGTCCGTTGATAAAACATTCGTCTACGAGGTATTCAGTTAACGGCACGGAACGTAGGCCTCCAGAGACGTATACTGTATACTTCACCTGAATTTACACCACGTGACGTAACTTCATCAAAACCCCCTGTTCTTGGTGGTATTATCACGTCTTCTTTTGCCCAAATGGGCGTTTTTCTGACAGGAATTTACAGAATTTCATGTAAGTCAGCTGATTTTGGGAGAATTCTGACAGATTTACCAGAAACTATAACCAAAACTTGTAGTTAATTTAAAAGACTTTGGCCAACCATAAGTGCAATGCTTTGGACGCTGTTCTGGTACTACCAAAAATGATGTCTCCGTTTCGACGTCTGTGCCGTGGTCAATAATCGAGACGCTATTTGCGCTATAACCTGTCATCGTATCTTAGTTCAGCTTCTTTGGCAGTACTTTCTGTAAGTAAAACTGCTCCACAACCGTATCAGCGTATGCACGCGTTAGAATATCGTTTACGAAACAGTCAAAAAAATAATATGCGTTTACTGAAAAAACGTTCTCCACTAAATTAGGAAAGGGATGTCTGAAAAAACAACTTTATGTTAGTGAAAATTCAATGTTTTATATTAAAAATTACTTATTTATTTAGCTTCCAATATCCAACACCCAAAATACTAAAGCACTAATGTAGGTAGGTACAATAGAACTCCGGTTATCCAAAGTAACGTGGACCTCGGATAACTGAAAACTCGGATAATCCGAATGTACATATATGTATGTATACCTATGAAGATTGTAGGTAAATATTCGTGACTGGCCAGTTATAAACAGAAGTTATTTTCTGGGGTATCAGCCTAAGGGCTAAATAGGTCTCAGAACTTTTATACTATGTATGGTATATTCTAGAAACTCGGTTAATATGGACCTCGGATTTTTGGGTCTTTAGACTGGCTCGGTTAATCCAGAGCTCGGATAATCGAGGTTCTATTGTATATGTGAAAACTGTACTATTTACCTTGCACTCACAAACCACAATTAGGACTTTCACCAGAAATAATTAATAGCCTAATATTCTACTTGGGCTCAGAATGATTCTGGACTTTATTGGGTAACGGCTTACCTAAGAAATAGAAGTGACACAATTTTTATGGATATCAAACAAAAAGGCACTTTTATGCAATTTAATTTTTTCTGGAAAACTACTAGAGGGAAAATTGTGAAATTTTCAGGACAAAAGAGGAAAGTTAGGAGATCATCAGACTAAAATTTCAAACTTTTTCAGTGAAAAATAATAAAATGGGAAATTGATGATTATGTACTTACCTTTGTCAAAAATCCGTCTAGAAGAAGATTCTTATTATAGACTCTTAGAGTCATCCGACGACTTCTGGATTCTGTTTGTTTACAGGGGGGGCTCACCTGAAAACAATAACACAGCGGCAGAAAAAATTGTTCATGTATATACAGGGTGATTAACGTAGCCCGTGCATTGGATTGCAAGTGGATTACATACACCATCTCTATCAATCCACCTGCAATCTGGAAAATTTATTGCACAAAGCAAGAAAAAGTCCTCAAAATTTCAACTCTCCACTCACTTCAGTTTTTGAGTGAAAAAATTGTTTGTAGAGTATTACTTTACAAAACATCATCATTTAAAAAAAGTCCTAACTCCATTAATAATAACTCAATTCAATCCCTTTTTGTTTTTAGTATTTTTAACAATGAATCTTCAGGAAAAAGTCCTCAAAATTTCAACTCTACACTCACTTCAGTTTTTGAGTGAAAAAATTGTTTGTAGAGTGTATTACTTTACAAAACATCATTATTTAAAAAAAGTCATAACTCCATTAATAATAACTCAATTCAATCCCTTTGAGTTTTTAGTATTTTTAACAATGAATCTTCAGGAAAAAGTCCTCAAAATTTCAACTCTACACTCACTTCAGTTTTTGAGTGAAATTTTTTTTGTAGAGTGTTAGGTACTTAACAAAACAATATTATTTTGAAAAAGTCATAACTCCATTAATTATAACTCAATTCAATCCCTTTGAGTTTTTAGTATTTTTTACAATGAATCTTCAGGAAAAAGTCCTCAAAATTTCAACTCTACACTCACTTCAGTTTTTCAGTGAAAAAATTGTGGGTAGAGTATTACTTTACAAAACATCATTATTTTAAAAAAGTCGTAACTCCATTGATAATAACTCAATTCAATCCCTTTGAGTTTTTGGTATTTTTTACATTGAGTCTTCAGGAAAAGGTCCTCAAAATTTCAACTCTACACTTACTTCAGTTTTTGAGTGAAAAAATTATTTGTAATTACTTTACAAAACATCATTATTTTAGAAAAGTCATAACTCCATTAATAATAACTCAATTCAATCCCTTTGAGTTTTTAGTTTTTCTCACAATGAATCTTCAGGAAAAAGTCCTCAACATTTCAACTCTACACTCAGTACAACTTCAGTTTTTGAGTGAAAAAATTATTTGTAGAGTATTAGGTACTTTACAAAACATCATCATTTTAGAAAAGTCGTAACTCCATTAATAATAACTCAATTCAATCCGTTTGAGTTTTAAGTATTTTTTACATTGAATCTTTAGGAAAAAGACCTCAAAATTTCAATTCTACACTTACTTCAGGTTTTGCGTGAAAACATTATTTGTAGAGTATTACTTTACAAAACATCATTATTTTAAAGAAGTCATAACTCCATTAATAATAACTCAATTCAATCCCTTTGAGTTTTAGGTATTTTTTACATTGAATCTTTAGGAAAGAAACCTCAAAATTTCAACTCTACACTCACTTCAGTTTTTGAGTGAAAAAATTGTTTGTAGAGTATTACTTTACAAAACATCATTATTTTAGAAAAGTCATAACTCCATTAATAATAACTCAATTCAATCCCTTTGAGTTTTTAGTATTTTTTACATTGAGTCTTCAGGAAAAGGTCCTCAAAATTTCAACTCTACATTCACTTCAGTTTTTGAGTGAAAAAATTGTTTGTAGAGTATTACTTTACAAAACATCATTATTTTAAAAAAGTCATAACTCCATTAATAATAACTCAATTCAATCCTTTTGAGTTTTTTGTATTTTTTACATTGAATCCTCAGGAAAAGGTCCTCAAAATTTCAACTCTACACTTACTTCAGTTTTTGAGTGAAAAAATTATTTGTAGAGTATTAGTTTACAAAACATCATTATTTTAGAAAAGTCATAACTCCATTGATAATAACTCAATTCAATCCCTTTGAGTTTTTGGTATTTTTACAATGAATCTTCAGGAAAAAGTCCTCAAAATTTCAACTCTACTCTCACTTCAGTTTTTGAGTGAAAAAATTGTTTGTAGAGTATTACTTTCCAAAACATCATTATTTAAAAAAAGTCATAACTCCATTAATAATAACTCAATTCAATCCCTTTGAGTTTTTAATATTTTTTACATTGAATCTTTAGGAAAAAGTCCTCAAAATTTCAACTCTACACTCACTTCAGTTTTTGAGTGAAAAAATTGTTTGTAGAGTATTACTTTACAAAACATCATTATTTTGAAAAAGTCATAACTCCATTAATAATAACTCAATTCAATCCCTTTGAGTTTTTACGTACGTCGGGCAGCTATGATTACGCTTAAGTGTAGGTCGAGCATATACAGGATGATAATTAGAAAAGCAGCAATCAGGAATATTTATCAGACAAAAAATACTATCAGGAAGATCTTAAATATATAACCTGTTGGATTATGGATACAGGTAAATTCGTCCCAATGACCATGAGTTTCAAAAGGTCTACTTTAGCTTTAGCCGCTCAGGTATAGCAGATAAGATTCTATAAGTATAAAAACATTATCTTATGTCAATTTTTGTCCTATATCCTATTTCCAATATAACCCCTCCTATTTTGGAGATCAAGCTTGCCCCCCCCCCCCCCCCCCCCTAATGATTTTTCTAAAATAAGACACACCCCTGTGAAGCCGTGACCATTTCATTTCAGCTACAATATAGAATATAATCAATTGACTCTTCATCTAGAAAACACATAAACAATTTTGCCTGCGGCAAAGTTGAAGAGCATTCAGCTATTCTATTAAAGCCCCATTATAGGCTGAATATTTACGTTGTGCAGCTGACACCCAACACCAAATTATAATTCAACCATTTCTCGCCGGTATTCGGTAGTGCCCCACTGCTACACTTACCGTATATAGTATATTCAATGCAACAAATGGGATCCTAACCTATTATGGTGGACGGCCTCCCCAGGGGACACCAATTACCAAAAAGACATGATCAAATCCTAATTTGTTGCTCTGAATAATCAGTGAAACGCAATCCCATAATACTGTAAATAACCCCATTGTAACTATGTCTAAGATTAGTTTTTTTCTGTAAATCAATGAATCCTCCCGTTCCTTACACCATAAATGGTAGTTGCTCAGCCAAAAAGGCAACTAAGGTAAGGTGGGGTAAGTGTGTAGTAAAATTTTAAAAGTTTCTATATACATCCTGATTTTGACGAAACTACTTGGGATCCTAAGTTCATATTTTGCCATAATACATTTAGGTATATCGTCCGCAAGTACAATACATTTATACCTTTCCACTTTCGTATTTTTTTTTCCTACGGGCATATTTTTTTTTGTGTGCATATTACACACTTGCCCCATAAAATGGGGGAAGTGTGTAAACGAGCCAGATTTTATACATAAATCGATTTATTCATGTCTGGGGCAAATGTGTAAAAAGTAAAAGTCCAAATTTTTTTATTATATTTTTTTTTTATTGTTATAACTTAAACTTTTCCAGTTACAAACTTTTTAATACAAAAGAAAATGGTCTTCCAAAAAAAAATAAAAAAATTAATAATGTCTCTCACAACGAAAATAAACAAAATAACCACTAAATGGCACTTATTGAATATTATAATTATCAAATGAAATTCCAAATCGATGCAAACCTCTTTTGGTAACTTCTGGTTCTGGAAGCACCATAACAATATCTTGAATGTCAACAAATGAACATTCCTCAGGATATGCCCAAGTAAAAGCAGTTGGAGTAGTTCGGGTAAGCGATAGCACTTTTCTTGTGAACTTAACTTCTATTTCGTCATCTTCTTTTTTTACTGAGATTACTTGACCAATATAATGTTTAACATTTTTTTTCCCCGCGCAAGCAATAAGCACCCAATCGTTAACATTTGTATCATTTTTTTCTTTATTTATTTTGTCCATGTATTCCGTCAATTCCTGCTCTTCTCTTAATTCTTCTTCAAAATCATCATCACTATCATCGTAAATGACTGCTTCATCTTCTGTTGGTGATTCAAGCTCAACAACTTCGGAAACTTTTTTTTTCTTCGAGGAATTATTATCCGCTTTTTCTTGCAAGCGCTTAAGAACTTCTGGAGCAGTGATTATTTCGGCACCACCAGCAATTTTTCTTCTTGATTTTTGAATGTTTGTATCTTTGTTGTGCTGCTTCACCATATCTAATAGTAGCTCTTCAAATGAAGTTTTATCTGGATTATTTATTCCTGACGGTCCCGGAAAAACATTATTTTCA